CCAATAAGTTATTTTAAATGTACTCATGTACATCTATCTGATTGTTGTATCGCTTTTGCAGAAATAAAAATTATAATGTTGACTTTTTGAAAGCAGCATTATTCATGAGCAGAAGATAGTTACTATAGAAGCAGAAGATAATGTAGTAACAGGAGATATTCACTGTAGAGACGGAAGGAAGTTATTGTATAAATTCTTAAAAAAGGTTACGATAGTGTCAGAGGACGGTTACTGTGAAAACAGAAGATAATGTAATAACGGAATATAACTTTTGTAGTGGCAGAAAATAACTTAAATGACAGGAGATGACTATATAAGGAAAAGATAATACTGTACTGATGAGAAGGTAGTTACTGTAGCAGCGGAAAATAGTTGCTATAGTGACAGGAAATAGTTTCTGTAGAAGTAGAAGATAATGTAGTGATAGAAGAACATTACTTAAGTGACTGACGATCCTTGCTGTACAAGCAGAAAATAATTACTGTAGTGGCAGAAGATAAGTACTGTAGTGACAAATTCTGTAATCAGTTGAAGGAATTCATCTAATAAACTGCGATTTGTTACAAACCAAATATGAAAATTCATCAAATATAAATGGCAAATTTTCTCAAAACCAAATTGCTAAGTTATTGAATATGTAATAAACTCGCAGTGTGAGAAACTGCAACTAAGAAAAATCTCTAATTGATTCAAAGACTCAAAGTACAATGACAGTGGTCAGTGGTGGACAGTGGACAGTGGTGGACAGTGGTCAGTGGTGGACAGTGGTCAGTGGTGGACAGTGGTCAGTGGTGCACAGGGGTCAGTGATAAGTGATTAAGAAAAACAAATCCATCTCCTTTTCAGAACATTTCAGCTCACATTTTTCTGTATAATAATTTAGCAATGTGAATTGTTTTTGTTTACTTTTTGGGATGACAGAGAATGCGTGAATTAGCATTACAAGTAGTGCACAGAATGAATGCAGTTATGTTACCATTTACATCAGTTCCAAAGGTGAAGCATAAATTTATGCAAATTTCCGCCCAAAACGTTTTTGCTGAACGGAAATTTGCATAGTGGGACATTCCAATGCAGAC